GTTTCCCATAATGAGGGGAACAAGGACTATTTCTAACAGGAACTCAATGGCTGGCTCTTTGACCTCCCCACCCCCCAAGGGAGGAGCAGTCCTGTTAGGCCACAGAGGAGGGCTTTGCAGCTAGTCCTGAAGATACCTGATAAAACAGGATCAGATGAATGGGGAGGAGGTCCCGCCTATCAGTGGACTTGGAAATGGGCACGGTGGAGATGAGGGAGGGAGGGTGGGATTGGGAGGGAATGAGGGAGCGAGACACGGCTGGGGTACAGAGTTAATAAAATGTAACTGATAAGAAAAAAATAAAAATAAAAAAACAAAAAATAAAAATAATATAGAAAAAAAGATATTTTTCACGGAAAGTTGTTTTTTAAAGGATAAACAATTCTGAAATCAAGATAATTACACTAAGTCTATTACTCTTTTGATTTTAAAGGAACTTTCAGTTCCTTTTCAGAGTAGAAACATTTAAGTAGCTTCTCTACTTCATAAAAGATTTTCTCACAGTAGTTTTCAATAAAGAAATCCTATATGGATTTTCCCAGTCATTAAAATTTAACAGAAATGAAAAGCATACCATTGAAATCTTTAAATATTAAGCATTATCACTAAATATATCTCTCAACAGAGCTATGTTGTTTTATGAAACTATCATTAAAGGTGACAAACTTTGTTAACTTAGTCTCACAATTTAGTGACTTGTACATTAAATTATCTTCATATTGGGAATTTTTGAGACAGTCTCCCTGTGTGACCCTGGCGGTACTTGGACCTCACCTTCTGGCCTTATGTTCCCAGGGGCTGAGGTCATAGGTTATCCTAACTCCTGACTACACAGTCAAAATTAGTCAAAATGTTTAATTTATTTACAGTCATACAATCACATAAAATGAAAACAAGTCTTATTGAAGTAAGTGAGGTAAACTCAGCAGGAGTCTGCTTTATTTAGACTGGACTATTTACAGGTTGATATTTATCATGAACTGTAAAGGAAAGAATAACTACAATGGCAGAACAATTCAGTTTATAACTGATATAAGCATTTTTTGTGATAAGATCATATGCAAAGCTTTCATTTTAAATTTTATAAAAAACATTTGCATGGTGAATTGTCACATGATAAGGTTATCTATAATTAAACAGAGACTGTAATTAAATATTTATAACTGGAATGCCAGATACCTTAGAAATAATGAAAAGTCAAATGTTTTTAAATATTTAGCCATGGTTACCCTTTTATGTCTTGAGGCAAGAAATTTCTTAGTATGTCAACCCAACACACTGATGAAATAATTTCTTGTGTTATTTTGTCACTGAGAGGCCACTATAGGACCAAACTTCACATTTCATGGATATATTAGGTAAGAGGCAGGAAGTATAAGCATAATTTAAAGAAACCTATAAATTTGCATTTATATATGGAGGTAATATTTTGATGCAGTGTACCCGTGCACATTAGGTCATCTTATTGGTTACTTCAATTTGCTGTGGTTTCTTTGTCTGTAAAATAGGCATAATTCTTGCTTTAAAAATTTAGAGTACAGGCATGAACTTGGTTGCCTTCTCTTTGATTACCTCCCTCTGGCCAGGTGGTCTTACTAGGCCACAAAGAAAGAGGATCCAGACAGTTCTGATGAGACCTGTTAGGCTAGGGTCAGACAGTAGGGGAGGAAGACCTCCCCTATCAGTGGGCTAGGGAGGGGTATAGGGGTGAAAGTGGAAGGGAGGTGGGATGGGGAGGAGATGAGAGAGGGGGTTACACCTGGGATACAAAGTAAATAAATTGCTGAGTAGTATTCCATTGCGTAAAAAGTACCACAATTTCTGTATTCATTCCTCTGTTGATGGACATCTGGGTTGTTTCCAGGTTCTGGCTATTACAAATAAAGCTGCTACAAACATGGAGTCCTCGTTGTGTACTTGAGCATGTTTTGGATATATGCCTAGGAGTGGTATAGCTGGATCTTGAGGAAGCAGTATTTCTAATTGTCTGATAAAGTGCCAGATTGATTTCCAAAATGGTTGTACAAATTTACATTCCCACCAGCAATGGAGGAGGGTTCCCCTTTCTCCACAACCTCTCCAGCATGTGTTGTCACTCCAGTTTTTGATCTTAGCCATTCTGATGGGTGTAAGGTGAAATCTCACGGTAATACTACTCAGCAATTAAAAACAAGGAAATCATGAAATTTGTAGGCAAATGGTGGATCTAGAAAAGATGATCCTGAGTGAGGTATTCCAGAAGCAGAAAGACACACATGGTATATACTCACTTATAAGTGGGTACTAGACCTATAAGATAGGATAAATATACTAAAATCTGTACACCCAAAGAAGATAAACAAGAAAGAGGACCTGGGGTAAGATGATCAATCCTCACTTAGAAAGACAAATGGGATGGACATTAGAAGTAGGAGAAAACAAGAATCAGGACAGGAGCCTACCACAGAGGGCCTTTGAAAGACTCTACCTAGCAGTGTATCAATGCAGATGCTGAGACTCATAACTAAACTTTGGGCAGAGTGCAGGGAATCATATAAAAGAAGGGGAGTTAGTATGACCTGGAGAGGACAGGAGCTCCACAAGGACCAAATATATCTGGGCACAGGGGTCTTCTATGAGACTGTTTCTCCAACCAAGGACCATGTATGGATATAACCTAAAACCCCTGCTTGGATGTAGTCCATGAAAGCTCAATCTCCAAGTGGGTTCCTTAGTAAGGGGAACAAGGACTATTTCTGACATGAACTCAATGGCTGGCCCTTTGACCCCCCCACCCCCACCCTGAGGGAGGAGCAGCTGCTTTGCTAGGCCACAGAGGAGGACATTGCAGCTAGTCCTGAAGATACCTGATAAGCTAGGGTCAGATGGAAGGGGAGGAGGACCTCCCCTATCAGTGGACTTGGAAAGGGGCAGGGAGGAGATGAGGGAGGGAGGGTGGGATTGGGAGGGAATGAGGAACGGGGCTATGGCTGGGATACAAAGTAAATAACCTGTGATTAATATAAAAAATAAAAATTATAAAAAAATGAAAAAAATGAAAAAAAAACTTTATAAAAAACAAAGTGAATAATTATGTAATAAATAATAATAATAGTAATAAAAGATTTAGAGCGCAACTTCAAAAATATAGATATTTGTAAATTAGACAGTATACAATTGATGACCAACAACATTTGTTAATTATTATAGTTGTATTAAAAGTTTATTTCAATTCATCACTGAGATAACACACTAGTCAGAAAAAGATCAATTAATGCTTCATTTAAATAGATTTAGGTTTTGCTATTGGTGATCCTCCACAACTTCAAAGTAAGACTCTATTGCCTAAGACACCACTGACATCATTGAACATGGAGAAATTGAGCTTGTCCAGCTGGACACTGCACCCTTACTAACTAGCATTCATGGTGCTGGAAAATACTTTGCAGGTTACTTGGTGAGAAAAGTCATTGTCAATATTACCACGCTACAAACACTGCAACCTACAAGAGCTACCACCTACAACACTACAACCTGCAAGCGTTATGAGGCTAACTGCCATTTTTCTTAATAGATTAAAAAACCATCCATGAGATGAAACTTAGAGCGGACACTGATAAAATAGCCAAGGACCTGAGAATAGTCTGTGGGCCCTAGAAGAAAAAGTACTACTATTATTATGCTAAAGAAACAGCAATAACATGACTCCTAATATATATATATTACTACATCACTTAACCCTTTCAGAGAAACTCTTTCTTGCAATAGATGGTAATTAACACAGAAACTCAACAACTGGACAATGTACAGAGCACTTAGACCTAAATGGAAAGTGTTTATCAAAGGACTCAGAGACCTTCTAGACTAAGAGCCAGAGGTGAGCAACAACCAAGGAAATAGAGACAACAGGGCTGATACACATGGGAGCTCACAGGAACTGTGGCAGCACGCACAAGACCTCCACAGGTTTGAACCAGACAAAATCCCCACATGGAAAATGGGAAGTGGATATCAAGCCCCATCCTTAACCAAGGAGTTATTTGCAATTATACTTGCTGAGAAAGGAAAAAAATAGTTTTCTCCAGTGCAATGCCATGGGTATATCAATCACACTCCAGAGCGGTCCCCATACTTACGGGTAGTTTGCTTATACAAAACATACTACGTATTTGTGTGTGTCTGCGTGCTTTTTGTTTGGTTTGGTTATTTTTTGTCTTATTGAGTTTGTTTTTTTATTTCTGTTCTTTAATTTTAATTAAAAAATTTTTTTTAGAAAGAACATACATGAAGCTGGGTGGGTATGAAAGATACAATCAAGATATATTGTATGAAAAAATATTTTAAAGATAAAGATAGCCCATGTTACTAAAAATAAAAACAGAAGCTAAATCAATAATTTAAATAAAAAATATGCTAGGGAAAATAAGATTATATCTATTCTGTTGACTAGGTCAGCGAAGTTTCAATAGCCAGCCTGAATGAAGACACTATAACTCTAGTGATGGCACAAAGAGGAATATGTTCTCTAAACTTTTTGGCAACAGTTAAAAAATCTGTAAGAACATTAGAGTAAAGAAGTTGAATGTGGCTATAGTGAACTTTATTACAACTATAAATGCTGGCTTATGAGACGCTATTTTTCTTAACTGTTTGCTTACAGCCAATCCTCTGATTATAAGTCTTCTACTAGTCAGAGCATCAACTTTTCAACAGAGTGGTATATGAGAGTTGTTAAGCCATATGTCAAGTGCTTTCATAGTTTATTTGTTTTTAGATACACTGGGAAACAATCTGTGTTCATTAACTTGCATACTATTTTCTTTTCCAAAGGACAGTGTACATTCTCTAAAGCAATGAGGCATTATTTTTAATAAACTAAAAAATAAACAGTTTCCTGGAGAGATGAAAGATTTTTACCCTCCCTGTAATGACAAAGGCAGAAATGGTAGACTGAAGAAAACTCCAACTTTTCAAAAACAAAGAAGATGCCACACTGAGTTCTTTCTTGGAACACTACTTACCTGCCTGGAAATGAGTGCTGCCCAACCACATCTCCGTTCTGGAGGTGGAAATCATTGAAGAAATCTGGACTTATAGCTCCTTCAGAGGCAATCAATCCATCTACAAAGAAAGCAGTAACTAGTGAAACATACTTATAGGGAGTAAAATAGAAATCATATTGAAAAACACATTAGAAACCTGTTTATTTAGCCTGCAAAGAAATGTCATGCTGTTATCCCTGGAGTATGCATGGAAGGCCATACATACATAAGAGGTCACACGTTTTATCATAATAATATAGCGGTCACTGAGTACCTACTATATGCTACGTAATAACAGTGCAGACAAAAATGAGGCAGAGTGCCCTCAGGGGACTTAGAGCACTGTGGGTAAGAAAAGGCAGAAAAAGATAAAGGAATTACGTGTGGTAGTCAGGGATAAGGCGTAGGCTAATGAAAGGTCATGAATAAAGGAAAAGGTAGGAGACATGGAACACTGCATGCTGGCAAAGAGCAATACTTCAGCATGTTTCTCATTTTATATCCGGATGGCTTCACTTTATATAGCATGATTGTGAATACAACAAAATTAGTTTGTTAATAAAAACCACTTGGCAGTTTAAATGGCAAACCTTAAAACAATTTTTTAAAAATAAAAGTGTTTTACATATCCTGTGGTTTAAATGGGTGAGCTGCATAAAATGTAAATACTTTCTTATGACATTATTTTCATTAGCTATTATTATATAGCTATACTATCAGGCGATCATTATACTCGATCCTCTAAAGAGCTCTGCACTGCTATGCTGTTTAAAAGCTCTGTTTTGCTTTAAACGTTTATTCTTCTATGTCTGTCAACATTTTTGTTGTTGTTGTTGTTGTTTGCTTGTTTTTCGAGACAGGGTCTTTCTGTGTACCCTTGGCTGTTCTGGGCTTACTCTGTAGACCAGACCAGGCTGGGGACTTACAGCATTGTGGGTAAGAAAAGACCAGGCTGGTCTCGAACTCACAGAGATTCACCTGCCTCTGCCTCCCAAGTGCTGGGATTACAAGTGTGCACCACTGGCCTGGCATCTGTTAACTTTTAGAAAATAATTTAGGTGTTGTGTTGCTTCCCACAGTGGCCCCAAGACTGAACAATCTGCTATTCATAGGGTTACATAGAGGAATAACAATTATCTGACATAAAGAGATCTGTGTTACATCTTCAGGGCTGCCCTAAGCTAGAATGACCCTTTCACTATATGCCTTTTGATGAACGATTTGCATGGTCTTGAGGACTTTGAGTTTCATATGCTGGATTACTGAATATAGGTATAAATTTTGGCCAAGTTATACTGACAAGACAAATAAAAAATCACAAACAACTAGCAACTTAGTCACTAAATGATTATTTTCTATCTAACACCTGTATAATAACAGTGTGATCAGTTTTGTGAAAATATATACGATTGTAACACATTATTTCCTTTTAAAAGAAGTTCTCTTTGGATACAACAAAATCATTTATTTCTAAATAATACACAAAAGTAGATATATGTATCAGATAAAAATTAACATAGAAAAATACAGAGGAATTAATATTCATAGGGGCTAGAATATCCTACATGGGGAGTAGAGGTATCAAAGGTATAACTGTTTTGGGTCTTCAAATATGAAAAGGACTTAAGTGACAGCATTTGTTTGAGGCTCAGTGAGTGGCTCTATAGGTGAAGGCGCCTGCTGCCATGCTTGATGACCTGAGTTTGATCTGAGGAATGTACATGCTGAAAGAGAACCAACTTCGGCAAGTTGTTCTTTGGCTTCTAGTTACATGCCGTGCCATGCAGACACATAAATGTATGTACAGAATTTGTTTGAAATAAAAATCTATTGAAATGGTAAATATAATTTATATAGTTAGCAAAAGAGTAAGTGCAGTGCTTTGTATTTTCATAAAATTCCATACTAGTCACTTGGAATAAATCATATATTAATGTCTTGGGTTTTCATTTAATTATTGAATTGTTAGTGTATACAACTGGTACTAATTACTTTACTAAAGTTCAAATAGTTGAACTTCAATATAAAACTAAAATGTGAAAGTAATATTTGGTTCTGATTTTATGTCTTCTAGAAATTAAATATTCTATAAATCAAATACCGGGTAAACACTGAGAAAAAAAAAAAAACGTAATCATGGAAAATTCCAAGACATGACAGAATGACAGGAAAGAAGCTAAAAAGATAAATAAAACGCAATTTTGTATTTAGCATTTTGTGAAAATCTGGCTAATGCCAACAAGGTTAAGATTAAAATATTCAAGTTACTCTTCAAAATTAAAACAAAACAAAACAACAACAACAACAAAACACCTCAGGATGAGAATTTGAGAATCCTGACAACTGTAGAAAAAAGTAAAATACCAATGTGATGTTAATCCTCTATTTAAGACAAACCCAAAAAATTATTCAATGTTTCTGAAATTAACTGCACATAATAAAACTGACATTATCTTCAGATACATCAAGAAATGGCACAGAGATTCATCTAATCCCAGGACTTCATAGAAATAAATGGTAAACATTCATAAAATAACAAACATTGAGAACCTGGCTTAGATTCAGTAAAAATAAAATAAAATAAAATAAAATAAAATAAAATAAAATAAAATAAAATAAAAT